GAGAGAGAAAAGTTTGAATATATAATATATATTTCAATATAAAACATAGTAACAAATTAATAACCACATACTCATCACCCAGCTTAAGAAATGAATTTCCCAGGGGCCAGCCTGGTGGCGTAGTGTTTTAAGTTTACCTGCTTCACTTCAGTGGCCTGAGGTTCACGGGTTCAGATCCCGGGTGCAGACCTACACACTGCTCATCAAGCCATGCTGTGGCGAGGTCCTACATACAAAATAGAGGAAGATTGGCACAGATGTTAGCTCAGGGCTAATCTTCCTCGCCAAAAAAAACAAAAGAAGAAGAAAAGAAATGAATTTCCCAGGGCCTCTGAAGCCCCTTCTGTGAGCCCATATCAGCATATCCTTTTGTCTCCTTCCTAGAGGCAACCCCGCAACCTGACTTTTGTGTTAATCTTCCTTTGCTTTTCTTTATAATTTGACCGTAAGTACATGTGACCTTAAATAGCATATTGTTTACTTCTGCTTCTCTTTGAACTTTATGGTATTATTATTTTTTTGACAGCTTTATTGAGATTTAATTCACCAACATTTAAGTGTATAGTGGTTTTTAGTATATTCAGAGTTGCACAGTTATCACCAGAGTCAATTTTAGAACATTTTCATCAGCCCATCAAGACCACACCCATTAACAGTCACTCGCCATTCCCTTCCAACCCCTTCGCAGCCCAAGGCCATCACTAGTCTACTTTAGATTTGTATCACATCGTTCCTTACATATTCTTGTGCAACTTGATTTGTTTACTTGATACTGTTTTTAAAATTCCTCTATGTTGCTGCATGAAGTGATAGTTCATTCATATTTTTACTGCTATATGGTATTCTCTTGTATGTGTAGACTACCTTTTGTTCATCAGTTCATCAGTTCTTAGGTGGTTTCCTGTTTTTTTTGTTAGTTTATTTTGTTTCTTGCTATTACTAAAGTTTTTCTCTATGTCTATTTGTGCACATGTGCAACATGGAATATAGCTCGAAATGGAATTGCTGAGTTGTCTGTACATGTATCTTCAACTTCACCAAAGTGGTTACACTCCCACTAGTAGTGGCTGGTGGCTCCTGTTGTCCCACATCCTTGCCAACACTTGGTATTGGCAGACTTTCTAATTTTGGCTTTTCTGATGGGTTTTAAATGGTGTTTCATTATAGATGTAATTCCCTCTTTTTTCCTCCAGGATATCTTAGAGATCTTTCCATGTCAATAAAAATAAATCTGCCTCATCTTAAAACTGCTGTGGCATAGTATTGGGTACACCAGGGTTTATTTACTCAGTTCCGTGTTGGGCTGTTTGCCTTTTTTTTTTACTATTGCATTCTAGGCTGCAGGTAGAAATTCTCATCCACATCTCCTTGTGCACGTGTGTGAGTTTTTCTCCAGTACCGTGGCCTCTTCCTGTACCCTCTTCTCTGAGGCCCACAAACATTGGAAAGCTGCCAGATCAGCAGATCTCCCCATCTTTTTTTTCACTTCGTGTAACTTCTGGTAAAGAAGGAAATAGCATCTAAAACCATGAGCTTGAATGCTCCTGACAGAAGGCCAGTCTCGCCTGCTGCCAGCCCCGTCTCTCTGCTCTGGACTTCTTCGTCTTTACTCCTAGCCCCTCTTCGTCCGTCAAAAGGCTTTAGGTCCTGTGGAAAGTTTAAGGGAAGGGAAGATATTCAGGGCAGGAGCAGGCAGGAAGAAGCTGGATCCTGCTGCTGAGCCCAGAATGGGCTTCTTGCTCAACCACTTAGCATAAGCAATTCCCGGGCCGGCCCCGTGGCTTAGTGGTTAAGTGCGCGCGCTCTGCTGCTGGCATCCCGGGTTCGGATTCCGGGTGCGCACAGACGCACCGCTTCTCCGGCCATGCTGAGGCCGTGTCCCACGTACAGCAACTAGAAGGATGTGCAGCTGTGACATACAACTATCTACTGGGGCTTTGGGGGAAAAAATAAATAAGTAAAAAAAAAAAAAAAAAAAAGGCGTAAGCAATTCTCCTGTGGGCGTTTTTTTCCTGGTACTAATCTGTTAACTTTTTTTTTGGAATTTCACCTATCTGTGGTATAGATTTTATTTATAGTGAATGATCTAGTACTATATAAAAAGGCATGTTTAATAATTAATCCTATGATTCCTACTCCCTTTTTAAAAAAATATCTTCTGCATGATGACATAGGGATGAAATCTACCCCTCTGGTCTGGCACACTCCAGGTTCTGTTTGTGAAGGGGGCTGCTTCCTTTTCTCAGGAATTTGGGTCACTTGGGTGGGGTTCCTTCTTGCATTAAGTAAAACTTCCTGCCTGCTGTAACAAATCCTAAGGCAGTGGGTCTCTTTTCATTCAACCCTTTGGCCTCCAATGTCGCAGCTTCCTTTGTCATATCGTGGCTTCTTAGAGTTGGGCGAGATCTTGGTCATCACTGGCTTCTGACACCCTTATTGTACACGTGAGGCCACTGCAGACGTCTCAGCTTCTGCTCAGCTAGTAAATGAAGGGACCGGACTGGAACAAAGGCTTCCCAGGTGCCAGGCCTGTTCTTTCCCCCACACCACGCTGCCCTGGACTCGCAGCTACGCTTGGGTGCGTATGGTTGATATGGGCGTGTGCCCTCCTGTACACACGCATTCTGTCTGCCCCTTAGCTCGGCGGCCAGTCTCAACAGCCAAGAATTCATGGAAAGACTGAGAAATCAAGAACACCTTTCTGCTTCTCTCAGTAACCCGCCTTGGAACGTAGAACATTCCTATGTCAGAGGCCTAAGCTCTGCTTTGAAAACATTACCCAAAAAGGAAAATTAAAACAATAACTCATTATTTGTCCCTATTGTGTTCTCAGCTTCTGTTTCATAAATTTCTGTCCAAGTAAGCACCGGAATATGTGCTTTTCCCCCTTTTTTTCCCCCTTCCTTCCTCCCTCTCTTCCTTTCTTCCTCCCTTCCTTCCTTCCCTCCTTCTTTCCTTTTCAAAGACCAAACGGAATTGTTTTCCATGGTAAGCACAGGCTGAGCCCTTCCTGCCATCCCTCTGTGCTGCGAGCCCCAGTTTGTCCGGGTGGGCTCTGGGGCTCGGCTTGGTGACCCCTTGTCTAGAGAATCTGTGAGTGGCTGGTCAGTCCAGAGTCAGGGATCTCAGACAAAACTCAGAGTGAACCAAATGTGACTTGGCTCCCAGCTCAGTTCCCACAGGCCCCCATCGACCCTAGGCCTTGTAAGATAATGTCACCTGGCTCAGCCTCCAAGCGGGGGCCTGAACGCAGGTGGCTTCTGGAAGGAGGTGGTGTTTGCCTGTCCCTGTTCCACCTGCTGATGCAGAATCCCAGTAGGACAATCATAGCTCTGATATTGCTTCAAGGGGAGTATTTTTTAAACGTATTTATTAGATTTATTTTTATTCTTATTAACAACTTATGATACTAACAACTTGAGATATAATTTATGTACAATTTATGTATTCTTTACGTAATTTGTGTGTTCTTTTCAACAACTTGACGTATAATTGATGTACAGTAAACCACACGCATTTGAAGAGGACAGTTCGATGGCTTTTGACAACTGTCTGCATGTGTGAAACCACCACCAACCAGATAGAGAACATTTCCATCCCCCCCCGGAGTTTGCCTCTGCCCCTTGCAGTCCGTTCCTCCCTCCACTCCTGGTGGCAGGTGGTCTCTGAACTGCTTTCTGTCACTATAGATTAGTGGCATTTCAAGAGGAGCCTTTTTAGACTTTTTTTTTTTTCTATTTCCAGCTTTATAAAGTATAATTAACAAACAAAAGTTGTATATATTTAAGGTGTTCAATGTGATAATTTAATATATGTTTACATTGTGAAATGATTACCACAATCAAGTTGTAAATCAAATCACCTCACAGTTATCATTTTCTTGTGTGTGTGTGGTGAGAGTGCTTAAAATCTTCTCCCTTAGCAAATTTCAAGTCTACAATACAGTGTTAATAACAATAGTCACCATGCTGTGCATTAGATCCCCAGATCTTATTCATCTTATACCTGAAAGTTGGTACCCTTTGACCAACATTTCTTAAAACATTCTTTTGAGTTTGCTCAAAAGAGTTTTCTGTGAAAACTGCCAAGAAAATCAGGCTCTACTGATTGCATTGTCAGCAGATTTCAAACATTGCGGTCTGTACATCCGAAATTGGACTCCTTATCTATTAGAAAGGATTGGCTTTAATAAAAAAAAAAAAATCCTTTAAAAATAGTTTCAGACACCTGCATAGCTTTGATCACTTTTTTCTCTCTCTAACAGGTGGTGCTTTGTATATCTGTCGACGTCTCTCAAGACTATAGCCAAGTAGAGAATGTCATAAGACAAGTAAGAGGCTGGGCTAATTGGAATTAATTCACTTGCCTTTCAATTGGTTCTTACCATGTTGGTATGTGGCTTAGAATTGGTAAATCTTTCCTCTAGGTTTAATCATTTTCTAGATTTTATTTATTGGCTTTCATTTGCTACTGAGTGATTCTTCTCTTCTCTTTCGTAATGCCTGCTCTAATAAATTTCTCCAGGCACAGGAGAAACTGGGCCCCGTCGACATGCTTGTAAACTGTGCAGGAATGTCCCTTTCAGGAAAATTTGAAGATCTTGAAGTTAGTACTTTTGAAGTAAGTAAAAATTTGTTTTTTGCTTATTGGGGTAGCCCGTATGCTGAAAGTAGACCAAGGCCACGGGTAGAGGCTTTACGAATGAAATGGATGAAATGCACTGGGATTTAATAGAAGCTTTAGAAGACTAGAGGAAGAGGCTGGGCAAGGTTTTGGTCCCAGTGACCATCCAACCTTAAGAGTTTAGACAAGTCCCTGAACCTCGGTTTCCCCAGCTGTAAAATGGGAATGAAACCTCCAGTCTGACACAGATTCCTACAACAATTCACCGAGGTCATGTCATCAAGAGGGCTCTTTGTAAGCCAAGAGATGCTGGATTTTCACGTCAAGTATCAGTATTCTTAACAATGAAAAACCAAAACAGTTGAAGAGCAGACTCTTTAGAGTTCTCAAATCAAGATAAAAAGATAATGCCTCATATATATGTTTATATTTTTAAACAGATTTGCCACGGCACCTCTCTTAGTAATTTATTTTAGCCTAAAGATATCCTAAAGAAATGGACATCAGATGTGAAGTCTTTCTTAAGTGCAAAACATTTTTTCAGTTGACACTGCATCAACCATCTTTTTCTTAATGGTCTGTTGAGCCTGCATCGTAGTAATGGGTTTTGAATGCTGTGCTCTGCAAAGTTAAATTGCATTCCCCTTTCAGAGAAAAGAACACTGTTGGAGCAGTAGTTGAGATATGTTGCTTCTGGTGGACTGTGGGAAAGCACCGTCAACTCTATGATTTAAATTCAAGTCAGGGGAGTCCAGATGTACGTACAAGCAGAGTGGTGCCTCACCTGGACTCGAGTGTCTGAAGGCTTCTTTATCAACTAGGCATAAAAGATAGTTGTCTTGACCTGTGTACCTTTATCTGTAAGTAATGAAAGGGAGATTTTGAAGATTATTTCAACAGCTGTGTAAAGAATCAGTTTGGGAAAATACTTATATAGTAGTCTAGGCATGAAATGATGAGGTGAAAGACTTTGGAGGTGGCCAGCAAAAGAGGAGTTGTGTGTGTGTGTGTGTGTTTGCGCGAGTGTGTATGTGAAAGATGATGTGGAGGGAGAATCTCACCTTGACTGAATGTGAAGGGCAAAGAGAGGATTGAGGTATAGGTAGTTGTATGGTTGTAATAAATAAACGCACAACTATAACACTAGGACCTTGGGAAGTGGGCGTGTCTGTTAGGGGGCAGAGGGCGTGGGAATTGTTTACAGTTGTGTGTCTGGTGGAAGTATGAGGATAATTGAGTGAATGTTTTGTGGAATTGTGAGCAGGAATAGAGGAAACTAAGTGTATGACACCAGGTGAATGTGTGTGGGTATCAGTGACAAGGAGAAAATGTGAAGCAGGTGAAATGAAGGAAGAAAAAAGTATGTAGAGAATATGAACCATGTTGAAATATAAAAGACGCGCAATTCTAATCTTTTTGAGAAAACTCAGTGTACTCTCAACCTTCAGTTTCCCATTCACACTGTTTCCTTCCTTCCTTCTCTCTCTCTCTTTCGTTTGAAACAAAACAATCACAACTTATTTCTTCTCCAGCGCCACCAGCGTCTTGTCCACACCTCCGCCCACCACGTAGACGGTTGCTCTGTGCCCAGCAACAGGGTACACTAGAAGAATAGGTGGTCTTGGGCATCAGACTAAACCAGTTTTAAATCTTAGCTCTAATGGCTTCAAGGCTAACCATTCACTAGCTGTGTGATCTCAGGCTAATTCTTTTTTCTTCTGGCCTCAGCTTTTCTTCCGATCTCAGCTTCAACCTCCATAAACTGGCTGTGCAGCTCCCAGAGCTATGAGGATTAAGCAACATAACGTGTGCATAATGCTTAGCCTACGGTAGCTGCATAGTAAATAGTAATGTCCTTCCTCGCTTATTCATTCAACCCACAAATATTCAAGAAAGCTTCTAGTGAGACAAGCATTGTTCTGGGTCCTGGGGATGCCGTGATGAACAAGAAAATCAAGTCTTGGCCCAGGTAAGGTAGGACAGACTGTGCAGGAGCAAGCCGCTTGGCAGTGTGATTTCAGACTGAGTGAAGTGCTGTGGGGGAGAAACGCAGGGAGCTGTGATAGAGAGAAGGGGCGGGGTCTCCAGTAGGTAGGATGGAAGGAGACACAGCCTCTGGGGTCTGCGGGCTGAAGAATGGGTGCAAAGAGACCAGGGAAGAGACCCCGGGTAGAAGAGCCAGTAGTGCAAGGGCCCCGAGGTAGGAAGAGCTTGGCAAAGGCGAGGAATAGACTAGGACTAGACACTAGCTCCCACCTGTGTGCTGGGAGCTACCCGAGCGATGGCAGAGTCGGGCAGCAGCCAGATCTGCTGGGGCCTTGCAGGTTACCACGAGCAGTTTAGATTTTAATCCGAAACCTTTGAAGAGGTTTAAGCTAGGCTAGGGAGTAACATGATCTGCATTTCTATTTTTAAAGGATCTTTCCGCCTGCTGTGTCAGGGAGACTTTTAGGAGCTTTTGGGGTAGTCAAGGCAAGAGATGGTGATGTTGGGAAGTGGATGGAGGTACAGTCGTGGGTGACCATGGAGGGGCGGGCAGAAATCTGCACAGGAGAGGGGCTTAAGCAGCTGATAGGGGATATTGGAAGGGGCCCCACCCCCAACGAGAACTGGCCTTCTAAAAACGAGGAACGGTTAACTCCAAACCTGCTGCCTGTATTCCAGTGACAATGCCTCACTCTCTCTGTTCGTGGCCCTCCTATGGAACGGCCCCTCTTCCCCTGGCTGCCCTGAATGGAGGCAAGAGGCCACCGTACTCGTACTCTGGGGAGTGTCACTTTCCAAGGCCATTATTTGCCCCTCAGCTCTCTCCTGTCTTAGTCTCGGTCACTTGCATTGTTCTAGTCAAGTCCAGGAATGGGCTTCTCATCAATGAGCCCTGTTAGAACACACCACATTTGATGCATTTTCTGAAGATGAGTTCATTTTTATTTAAAATGAATTCAATCTCAATTTTTTGTTTGGTTGGGTGTTTTTAGTTTAATTTTACTGAGGTTCACATGCACTTAAATTGCCTGTACACAATACTTTGTGTGTGTTGTCACAACTCATTGCTGGCGGATTTAAGCGCATCCTATGTGATATCGCAGGGAGAGGACTCCTGGAAACTTCCACCTGGTTTCCTGTGGACTTTGACCTGGGGGACTTTTGCCCTTGCTGATTTTCTTTGCATCCTTTCACTGTAATAAATCTTTTTCATGAGTACACTATGTGCAGGCTCCTGGGAGGCCTTCCAGTGAATCACTGAAACTGGAGGTGGTCTTGGGGAACTCCAACACACTTCTCTTAATTTTCCTTTTTAATGGATTTCTTTATGATTTCTTGGAGCTGTATCTTGTTTTATCTACTTGTGGATATTAATGAGAGTTATTAATTTTTGATTGGGATTACATTGACTCTGTAGATGCATTTGGGGAGAGCTGACATCTTAACAATGTTGAATCTTCTAACCCATGAACATAATACATAATCTCCATTTGTTTATTTATTTATTCATTCATTCATTCATTGATTTTTTGGTGAGGAAGATTGGCCGTGAGCTAACATCTGTTGACAGTCTTCCTCTTTTTGCTTGAGGAAGATTGTCCCTGAGCTAACATCTGTGCCAGTCTTCATCTATTTTGTATGTGGGATGCTGCTACAGCATGGCTTGTGTGTAGGTCCATGCCTGGGGTCCGAACCTGTGAACCCTGGGCCACCAAAGCAGAGGGTGTGAACTTAACCACCATGGCTGGCCCCAGTATTTCACATTTTTGATGCCAGTGTAAATGGTATTTTTTCATTTCAGTTTCTGAGTGTTCACTGATATTATAGAGAAATACCATTGCTTTTTGTGTATTGATCTTGCAATCTTGCTAAACTCAATTATTTATTTTTTTATAATTTTATTTCTTTATTTTTCCCCCAAAGCCCCAGTAGATAGTTGTATGTCATAGCTGCACATCCTTCTAGTTGCTGTATGTGGGATGCGGCCTCAGCATGGCCGGAGAAGCGGTGTGTCGGTGCGCACCCGGGATCCGAATCTGGGCCGCCAGTAGCGGAGCACGCGCACTTAACCGCTAAGCCACAGGGCTAGCCTAAACTCAATTATTAATTCTAGTGCTTGTTAGATTTTCTACATCCAGGATCATGTCATCTGTGACAGTTTTACTTCTTACCTTCCCATCTGGATACCCTTATTGCACTGGTTGGAACTTCCAGTGCAGTGTTGAATGGAAGTGGTGAGAGCAGACATTCCTGTCTTGTTCCTGATCTTAGGGAGAGAGCATTCGGTCTTTTACCACTAAGTATGATGTTTGCTATAGTTTTGTTTTTGTTTTTTTGCTAGATGCCCTTTATCAAGTTGAGAAAGTTCCCTTCCATTCCTAGTTTGTGAATAGTTCTTGTAAGGAATGGATGTTGAATTCTGTCAGATGCTTTTTATGCATCTATTGGGATGATCATAGAATCTTCTGTTTTAGTTTGTTAATATGCGAATTATATTGATTGATTTCCAAATGTTAAACCAATCTTGCGTTCCTGGGATAAACCCCACTTGGTTATGATCTATTCTCCTTTCTGTGTTCTTGAGGGATAGTAGTTGTAGTTTCCTTTTCTTGTAATGTTATCTTCTGGTTTTTGTATAATGGTAATGCTGGCCTCATAACATGAGTTGGGGAGTATTCCATCCTCTTCAGTTTTATGGAAGAATTCGTGTAGAACTGATGTTACTCTTCCTTAAATGTTTGGTAGAATCTACCAGTGAAGCCTGAGATTTTCTTTGTGGAACAGTTTATAACTTTAATTCAATTTCTTTAATAGATGTAGGGCTACATCTGTACCTTCTTATCTATTTCTTTTTGAGTGACCTTTGGTAGCTTGTGTCTTCCAAGGAATTTAATTTCGTCTAAGTCATGGAATTTATTGACACAAAGTTATTCATCATATTCCCTTATTATCGTTTTAATATCCAGAGTTTGTAGTGATGTCACCTCTGTCATTCTTGATATTGATCATTTGTGTCCTCTCTCTTTCCTGACCAGTGTCACCAGAGGTGTATCAGTTTTATTGATCTCTCAATAACCAGCTTTTGGTTGTATGATTTTTCTATTGTTTTTCTGTTTTCTATTTCATTTATTCCTTCTCTTATTTTTATTATTTTCTTTCTTCTGTTTACTTTTCTTTTGCTCCTCTTTTTATAATTTCTTTAAGTGGAATCTAAGGTCATCGATTTGAGGCCTTTTTCTTTTTCTAATACAGATATCAGTGCTACACATTTCCACCTAAGTACTGTTTTAGCAGTGTCCCACAAATTTTGATATGTTGTGTTTTTACATTCATTCAGTTAAAAATATTTTATGATTTCCCTTTTCATTTCTGCTTTGACTCTTGGGTTATTTGGAAATATGTTATTTAGTTTCCAAATATTTGGGGGATTTTCCAGAAATCTTTCTCTTATTGATTTCCAGTTTGATTCCATTGTGGTCAGCAAACATACTTTATTATGATTTGAATCCTTTTAAATTTATTGAGACTTCTTTTATGGTTGAGAATATAGTCTATCTTGTAGCTGTTCTGTGTGCACTTGAAAAGAATGTATATTCCACTGTTTTGGGTGGGGTATTTTTTCAGTGTCAGTTAGGTCCAGTTGACTGATAACAGTGTTAAGTCTTCTATATCCTTACTGATTTCGTGTCCACTTGTTCTATCCATTATTGAAAGAAAGGTATTGAAATCTCTGGATGTAATTGTGGATTTGTCTGAGTATGTTTTAGACAGAGTCATAGTTGAGACTCCTGTCTTTCAGCCCTGTTCCTGCCCTCCTGGCCCAGGGGTACTTGGTGCTGCCTGAGCATTGTGGGGGTTCTGTGGTACAATCTTCCTTTCTAGTTTCTGTGCTCCTTGCTTAGCATTCGCCTTTCAGCTGTTTTAGTTATCACTCATCATTCTGTTTGTCAACTTCCAAGATGTTATTGCTGTTATTTTCTTTGTTCTTGTGGGTTGTTGCCAAAGGAAAAAAAAATCTCTTTACTAAGATTTTAGTGGGGTCTCTGAAGGGAGCAGAAGTAAAAACATGGGCTCAATGTGCCATCTTTTTTCAAATACTTTTTAGAGCCTTTTTATTATCAAAACAATATAATGCTTTTTTTTGTGTGTGTGAGGAAGATCAGCCCTGAGCTAACATCTGCCAATCCTCCTCTTTCTGCTGAGGAAGACTGGCCTTGAGCTAACATCCATGCCCATCTTCCTCCACTTTATATGAGACGCTGCCACAGCATGGCTCGACAAGCGGTGCATCGGTGCACACCCGGGATCTGAACCAGCGAACCCCAGGCCGCCACAGCGGAATGCACGCACTTAACTGCCTGCACCGCCGGGCCAGCCCTAGCAATATAATGATATTAAAAGACATTTTGGGAAAAAATGGGAATCCCAACATCCTAACACAGTCATTTACAATTTTCTATATTTCCTTGGTTTTGCACCTGTGCACATGTACTTTTATTTAATATTTGAAATAGTTACCGTCACAGTGCACAGAGTTTGCTCTCTGCTTTTTTTAAATTTGTAGCATAAATATTTCTCCCTGTAGCTCCTGGTGTTTCTGGTCTTCGTTTCTAAAACTTACTCTAATAGATCTAATATTTTTATAAGACTTTTAATATAGAAATATTTTAATGCAAGTTTTCTTAGATTTTCAAGTTAAAATGTAAGGTTTTTAAGAGTTCCCAGGATGAAAAGGAAAATATATTCTTGGTAACTGTGTAAGCTCTTACCGATCATAATATAAGAGCTAACATTTATTGAGTACAAATGTGGGTTGGGGGCTGCCCTTATCTTGTGTTCCCTCCCCCAGTCCTTGCAACAGCCCTATGAGATAGTACCAATATTAACCCTGTTTTTGCTGTGGGATTGAGTAGAGTGCCTGGCTTTTCTTGTTCATCATCGAATAGGGAGTAAATGGTAGAGCCAAGGCTTCAAACCACAATCCATGCTGTTAACCACTGTCCTGGTCTCTCTGTGGTATAGGACTAATAGGGCTGGAAATATTTGGAAGCTCCTTTCTAAAACTCTCTCTCAAAAAGTATTCCCCACAATATGCAGTGTACTTTTTATAAGGAGAAAACTAACTTTGACCGGTTTTCAGTAAAGACATAACTGCTGTCATTGTGAGAATGCAAGACTAGATTGAAATGGGCTTCAAATGGGAGATCCTGAGCATCACGGCTCATTGCAAGATCGTTTCATCATTCATTCACTCAGCAGATCGACTGAGGTCCTAGTCACGTGGGCTCCATTGAAGAACTCGAGTCTAGAGAGCAGACAGAATTCCCATGGAGCACAGCCTCGCGGCTTTGACCTTGCTCACTCCGCAGGCCTCTTTGTTCCCTGCAGAGACTGATGAGCGTCAATTACCTGGGCAGCGTGTACCCCAGCCGAGCGGTGATCACCACCATGAAGGAGCGCCGGGTGGGCAGGATCGTCTTTGTGTCCTCCCAGGCGGGCCAGCTGGGATTATTTGGGTTCACGGCCTACTCTCCCTCCAAGTTTGCCATCAGGGGATTGGCTGAAGCTTTGCAGATGGAGGTAAACGCTGTCTTGTTTTATATTTATTCCTCAGCTCAGCAATATATGTTCCCATTTAGTTTGGACCTTCTTTACATGTGTTGCATTGAATTAGATTTCTAGATTTGACATCAGTGAAAGAGAATTGGCTCAGCCCCTGAATTTTGCACTTAATGTTTTTCATTGCATAAAGATTATAGTTGTGATAGAGGCAAAACGGTTGTGAGGTTTTTGCTTGCTTAATTTAACACGCAAAGTGCTACTGATACCTTCATAGTATTATTGGCCTAATGCTGTGTGAGTATGTGTAAGGTTAACCAGATTTCTTTTTCTATAGAGATATTTCTTTAACAAAAATTCTGGCCTTTATGTCTGAATAATAAAATTAGCATGTGTTTGAGGGAAAAGCTTAACTAGCTACTGTCTAACTCTCAGCTTTTAGACAAATCATTTAACTTGGTCTCAGTTTCCTTATCTGTACAGTGAGAGGGTTGGACTAAAAAACTTGGCTCTCCTAATACTTATATTTTAATATCTTACAGAAATATTGATGAAAGTGAATGCTTTTTATTTTCACAGTTGATAGGACATTTTGTGGAAGAAGGGTGTGGTTAGGATGAGCATCAAAATAAGTACTTGTCATGATGTGACAACCTTACTCGTCAGCCGTGTGAAGTAGACTTCTGCATTGTTGTCACTTGGGGAGGCGTAGAGAGCATCACATGTACCTACCCAAAATCACATACTGAAAAAGGCAAGGTCAAATTCTTTCTATTGTAACATATCCTGAAATATAACACTACATCATGATGTTAAAAGCCCAGAAGAGAATGCATTGTGGCCAGCCTTCTTATATTAAAAGTGTGATTTGGGGATCCTGTTTAATGATTTAGATCAGGGGTTGGCAGAATTTTTTCTGTAAAGGGCCAGACAGTAAATATTTTAGCCTTTAAGGGCTAGATGGTGTCTGTCGTAACTACTCAAGTCTCTTGTAATAGCAGGAAAGCAGCCACGTGCAATATGTAAATAAATGGGGTGGCTGTGTTCCAATAAAATTTTATTTATAAAAACAAGTGGAGGGCCAGATTTGTGCTACAAGCCATAGTTTGCTGACCCCTGATTTAGAAAATCCCCAGAAGAGCCCTCGATGGTGTGTGGCAGAGTGCCACGCTGCCTAGATATTGGACGAGCATTGCAGTACAGAGGAGTTATCTGGTTAGTGACAGAATCCTGATGGGCCACTTAGGGACTGATAGACTGTGCCGTCCTCACCCCAGAGGAACCAGCCACAAATTTCATTTTCATCAACTTGCTTCCTACTCTTAATCAATAATAGGTCATTATAGTATGTTTAGCCAGTAGGGCATGTATGGCTGTGAAATTTCAAACAAGAATATTGGTATTTCTTTTGCAATTTTTACCTTGAAAAGTCCCTTTGTGAATAACTTTTATTTTTATAACAGTTTTGTGAAATATGTGAGGCAGATATTATGCCATTTTATAGATAAGAAAACTGAGTGTTCAATAAGTTCACTGAGTTGCTCAAAGCCACATTGTGACTTTGGGACAGAAATGGTAACGAAGCCCAGGGCTTTTGGCTCCCTGTTGGCTTCTCTTCTGCAGTCGATGATGCACCTCTAATTCAGGTCAGAAGCTGCCCGATACATCTGGCTGGTTGCCTCAGCCCTTTGCTGTGGTCTTAGATAGCTAGTAGGTGAAGGGGTTTTTTTGTAATGAAAAAGCTCCACATTAGGGCTTTTTGTCCCTAAGTCACATCTTGCAGAGCTACTTCAGGATTCACTAATACGGGGCAAAGTGTACGCTCTGGGTGGCCTGGTTTCACCTCAGGTAGAACAGGGATGTTAATAACGAAGAGGGAAAAGAATGTGAGTTGCTAGTACAGAATCCCTGAAGCTTCTTTGTGACACGTGTGGTTCACATGCTGCAAGTAGCTGGCCTGGACTTGCAAGTTTGCCTGACTTTTATCCATATTTGGGATCCATTAAAAATGTCCTCATGTAAACAAAAAATAAAGTAAGCATGTTCCATGAAAAATAGGTTTTGGAGGAAATAAATTCAGTAATCAAAATCTAGTTTGTTCACAGTAGAACTTGCATCAAAACAATTATTTGCCTACAAACTTGGGGTGTTGTGGTTTTGAAACCTGGATAATTAATTCAGTCTGTTTTGCCAACGTGGTTGTGTTTTCTGTGAATGAAACAGTCCTTATAGAATTGCTCGAACTCTAAGTACTTTTGGTAATCCTTTTTGGTTTAATTAACTCTTAAGTCTTCCTGTCCACCCCACCCCTTGCCCCCAAACTAAAGTAGGACCCTAGAGATGTTTTATATACAGTGGAGAATTTTGAAAGAATGCTTTGTTTCCTTTTTTGTCTTTCCTTTTTTTTTTTTACTCAGTTTTTTAGGTACAAATACATTCTTTAAAGATTTTAAAAGTTAATCTTTTTGGAAAGCAGACTTTGGAGGTGGATTATAGCCAAAGATGTAGTAACAGAGACCAAGTAAAAGAGAACTAGGTGTCGTCCTTTCTACTTCTCTTGTCCCAATCATGCTCCCCCTCCCTCTAACTCCATCTTTTCCCACCATGGTCTAAAAGTAAGCTGAAACAAATTCTGGAGCTTCATCTCAACAGCTCTGATCCTCTCTCCAGCCCCCGCATCTTTGTTTGGATGGAATTAGGAGCAACACATTTTAGGTGGGATTACTTTGATAAGATAGTCATGCACTGCATAACAATGTTTCAGTAAACAATGGACCGCATATGCAACGGTGGTCCCATAAGATTAGTACCATATAGCCTAGGTGTGTAGTGTAGTAGGCTGTACCATCTAGGTTTGTATATGTACTGTAGGGGAGGAAGAAATTTTCCTCCACCCTTCTAGGTTCTTCTGTCTGGTCTAAAAATTAAATTGACATGAGACAGATTAACAGCAGAAAAACAAAGAAAAGTTTAATAATGTGTAATTGGGAGAAACCCAGGAAAATTGAGTGACTCGACAAAATGGCGAAAGCCCTCACCTTAAATACCATCCTCAGCTGGAGACAAAAGAAGATGTTGGGGGTGGGAAGAGTCAGGGACTTGAAAGGGAAGGAAGGCAATTCACAGACAGGTCAAAAGGAGCAAATGTTTGGAAAACAAGTGTTTGGCCACAGAGAAACAGAAGGACACAGAGGGGAGCCCAGCAAACAGCCTTTTCTAGGTTCCTCCTGTCTACCACCTAGTTCATGTTATGCTAAGGTGATAGCTTGCTTTCGGAGACAGGTTTTTGAATCTGAATTCTTTTAGGCACTTAAGGGGAAGGGAACAAGAAAAACTTTTGTATCTTAAAAATAATCAGCCTAGGGGCCGGCCTGGTGGCATAGCGGTTAAGTTCGCGCACTCCACTTCGGTGGCCTGGGGTTCGCGGGTTCGGATCCCGGGCGCAGACCTACACACTGCTTGTCAAGCCATGCTGTGGTGGCGTCCCATATAAAGTGGAGGAAGATGGGCATGATGTTAGCCCAGGGCCAATCTGCCTCAACAAAAAAAAGAGGAGGATTGGCGTCGGATGTTAGCTCAGAGCTGATCTTTCTCACAAAAAAATAAAAATAAAAAAATAATCAGCCCAAGATAATCTTCATGTTAAAGATTTTGGGGTGGCAAATGTTCTTCCCCTTCAGTATACTCTATGTGTTCTGACAACAAGAAAATCACCTACCAGTGCATTTCTCAGAATGTATCCCTGTTGTTGCGACACGTGACTGTAAATCAGTTCTTGATCAAGTGGTTGTCTTTCTGATTGAGGCAGAGTCCAGGCAGAGGGGAGAAAGTGACGGTAGGATGGGAGTGGGGTGGAGCTGGAGGACAGAGAATGGGCAATCAACAGGAACAAGGAGAAGCAGACAGTGGCTAGGAAAGCAGGGGAATCAGTTAGTGAAGTCCTGGCTTATAATTCTTAGAAAAAGTGGTGATCTCTGGGAATCAGCTCTGTCTTAGCAAGAACAAGTGAAGCCAGAATAACTTCATTTCCTTTTCTGCTGGGGTCATGGGATTAAAGGAAGGTGTAGATGTAGTTTAGTGTATTTAGATTTCAGCAAATCGTTTGACCAAGAGTTTTAGGAGACTGTAAGCTACATGAGGGCAGGGATTCTTTCTGTTTTGTTCACATCCATATGTTTCATTCTTAGAACTACACATAGTAGTAATTCAATAAATATTCATTAGATGGATAAATAAAATGGGTGGGTTATTAGCCACTGGAGGTATCCAACCATGAGGTGAGAGAATCATTTGGCTCCATGATTGTAGAGAGGATACCAGCACTCAGAACAGGACTAGAGTGGTTTCTCCCAACCCCAGCAATCTGTGGTCCCACGCCAGGAGAAAGCTGTTCTGAAAGCTGTTTTAACCATTTGGAAGCTCAGCCATAACCTTGAGTTTGAGAAACTCTCCTTTGAAATATCGTCTTAACGTTAGCTTGTATACCAGAGTCCTTACTTACTGCAGGGGAGAGGGGCAGAGGAGCAGCACAGAGACAACCACGTCTGAGCAGGCAGCTTTAGACTTTCGATGGGCTTTCTAATTACCAGTTAGTGGCTTTTTGGGTGACGTTTTTCTCCTGTCTGTGCACAACAGAGGGCGAGGCCGTGGGAGACAGTTTTTAAAGTCACTATCTCAAAGCAAGTGGAAGAGAAGTTGCTTGCTCATCAGCCTCACTGCCTGGCTCGGATCCAGAGCTATTTCTGAGCATAGCTGGGCCTTGAAGCTGCGTGCCCGGTTGGTGCTGAGTGAATGAGCTCTCGCACGCACTGCAGCCCAACCAACAGAGACGTCGCCCTCTGCTATTGCACTTTCCAGGCTGGCTGGCCGGGATCTTCTGCCTGCATGCTTCTGCTGACCTTTCTAGCTCCTCCCACAGCCTTCAGAACTGTGCTTCACAGGAGGAACTAGGGAGAAAAAGGGCAACAGGATAAGAAGGGATCCTGGGATATTGTTAGAGGCTGTTGCATGAGGAAGCAGTATTGTCACTTTTCAGCCTCCTTAAGACACACAGTGGCCTGTCTTACCATTAGCTGCCTGTCCACTTCCAACTCCTGTAGGTGTTTTCACGGAGCTGAACAGTGAGCCAAGAGCCAACAAAAGTCATGGCAAAAAGATTCTGATGGTATGAACCACCACGCCTAGAGTCACTAAGAGGCAGGGCAAGACAGGAGCGTGGAGCAGGGCTGCTGCAGGGCAGGGTCTTTGGGAAGGGAGTGTCGGGTCTGACTAGCAGGAGAATCTTCTGGAATTGTTGGGGGTGTGTTTATGAGTGAGAAAATTAAGTGTGGAGGCCAGGAGGTGAGGTAAGCAAGCCTAAGAACCTGTTCTTATGCATTAGAGGAGCCAGGTAGAGTTCCAGATAGGGTGAGGGAGCTGTGGAGAGAAGCTGGGAAGGAGTTTCGACATATAAGTAAGGGATGAAGTGCAGGAGAGGTGCATGGCTGGCCTGACTCGGGGGTTCTACCCCGGGAGAGAATCCTGTTGGCTGCTTCTGTGGAGAAGGAAGGGACTCCCTAATGGGCAGGAGCTGGTTGCATAGGGAGTTCCTGAGCAAGCAAACTTCTCAGAGGATGGATAGTTCTAGACCTGGGTCCGGAGTGACACAAGAAGGGCATAGGCGAAGGGATTTGGATGATCTCAACATATTTTGTGGATGAAATCAACACAAGAAGAGTTTCAGAAGCAGCCATGGAGGAAAACAGATTTGCAGTCTGGTGATGGAGGAGCAGAGCTGTCCCGTTGCCTTGAACACGGTGCCTGAGTGGTGTGCGGTGGGTGCGGAGAGTGAGTGGACTCCCTTTCGCACTGAAGCTCTCCTCATGGGCAGCTCCCAGCGCCTCTGCCTGGTCAGCGGGAGTGGAAGAAACTTAGAAGGAGGTGAATCTCTGTACCTTAGGGCCAGCTGCTTTCTGGAGTAGAGGTCGGGGTGAGCTTTTTGGCTTTATTTCTAAATGATCTGCATAGAGAGGAGTTGCCTGACTCAGTTGGTGGTCATTCTCCTCTTACAGAATCTCCGTGTTGGTCTTGGCACCTCTTGAGAAAATCAGGATTGTATTTATTACGTTTGTCTGGCAGCCAGTGCAGGCTGGTGAGGGAGGATGCGGAATTGTATCTTGTTTACTGCAGAGGCAACTGTTGTTTCTGAAATGCAGGTGAAGCCATATAACGTCTATGTCACGGTTGCCTACCCGCCAGACACAGACACCCCTGGGTTTGCAGAAGAAAACAAAACAAAGGTAAGTAGTCCTTTCTGTGCCCCATTTCGAGGCTTTAACCTTGTAAACCTCTTTGCCTATTCTCTGTCTTTCCCTGCAGCCCGCAGGCATTTTCATCAGTCAGAAAATTGATTGGCTTTCAATTTATGTGCTGGCTAGAGGCCTCTGAACTTTCTGGAACTTCCATTGGAATCTTGGAGAATGCAGCCATATTTTCAAAGCCCCTGATTTTTGCTAATAATCTTCAAAACCTTATTTAGTTAATAAGATGTTTTCTTTATGTTGGAGAGTACAGTCTGTATTTTTAACTAACGACATGGTATTTTTGAAAATAAGAACTTAAAGACCTGGTTGCCTAATCCCTTGTCTCCACCTGAAAGTCTTATGGGCACCTCAGACTTAATGTTTCAGAAGGGGGACTTTTGATTCCCTCTTACTTCCCTTCATTATTTTCCATCTCATTGCTTGGCGCCCACCACTCACGCAGCTGCTCAGGCTAGAAACCGTGAAGCCAGCCATGATTCTTCCTCTCATACCACTCATCCGGTTGATCTGCAAATCCTCTTGGCTTCACTCTCAGAATATATATATAAAATATATATTTTTTTTAACTGCAAATATCACTACCATCCTAGTCGTGATAACCACTGATATTTTGCCTAAACTGCTCTAATGGTCTTCGAACTGGTCTGTCTGCTTCTGTTCTTACCTCCCTGGGGTCTGTTCTTCATAGATTTGCTAGTGATTCTTATAAAGTTTGTCAGGTCTTGTCACTCAACTCTTCAAACTGCTGTTGTGCAAAAAAACACCAAAAAACAGAAACAAAAAAACACCCTAAAAGCCCAAAACCTCTTGTGCGGCACAGTCCGATAGAATGTTCTAGAATGATGGAAATATTCTATGTCTGCACTCTCCAATATGGTAGTCATGTGTGGTTTTTGAACACCTGAAATGTGCCTAGTGAGACTGAGAAACTGAATTTTTAATTTTATTTAATTTTAACTCATTTGAAGCTGGAATTAAATAGCACATGTTGGTATTGGCCACGTATTGGGGAGTGCGCCTTTACTGGTTCCCATCATGCCTATAATAGAATCCAGAGGCCTTGAGGCTTATTAGGTACCACTGTGCCTGGACCTTGGCCGCTTGCCCACAGCATTTTCTCCTCTTCTTGCCCTCAGCCACGCTGGAGCCTTGTCTGTTCCTTGAGCTTGCCCGACCTGTTCCCCCCGCGAGCTTGGCTCTTGCTGCTCTCTCTCTCTGGATGTTCGAATGGTTTCCTCCCTTGGTTCTTTCCATCTCTGTGCAGATGTCATCTCAGAGAGGACTTCCCTGACCCTCCTTATCTCAAATATCATTCCTGGGACGTCACCGTCCTCTTCCCTGGCTTTATTTTTCTCCATAGTGCTTATCACCAGTGGACATTGACATTATATACAGTGACTGTCAGTCATCCTGAGCTGAATGCAAGCTCTGCACTTTGTTCAAAGGAACCTTCTCTTTGCCTTGACACATAGTAGGCACTCTGAGCACACAAATAAAATGGAGAAGAAAGGCGTCAATCAGAACGTATCCCCTTGACCTGGAGTTGATTGGTTTTCTTCTCTTTCATAGTAATGCTCGGTGGGCGTGATTCTCCACAGCGTAAGAATTGGCACTTATGGTTCACAGACTGTATATTTGCAAAAAGATGTTTATGATTTAAAAGCTTTTTTCCCTATTCGTTTCTCTTTGGCTCTACCTCTTAAAATTATTGCTATTTCAAAGAAGTAAATTTAAGCGAAATGCCCTGTCTTAGAATAAGCGGGGATCTGCTCAGCAGATTTGCAACATTTGGTGAGCAGCCTTTTAGTTTGAAGCCAAAGCTGACAAAGGGTGGTGATTTCCCTGTGAAGATTTGATTTTGATGTTAAGTTGGGTCTTTTGCCTCCAGTAAAATGTTGGGCAGACTTCTCCAGGTAAATAAAATTCTACCTCCGTCTTTCAGCCCTTTAGGGGGCACCATAGTGCTTTTAAATCGACTGCCTAGCTGACCACATATGGTTATGCGGGCCCAGTGGTGGGGAGAATGAATGGTTGAACCTTCAAAAGGGCCTTCCTCTTAATTCAGGTTCATCAAGAAATACTTGATTTTTATGAAGTGCTATGCTTTTCTATTTTAAGAAAATATATTCTGGTTTTTATTTTATTTAATTTTTTCAAGCCTACGTGGTAAATAAAATTTATAGTTTCATGCAGTTTAAGGTTTTAATTTTGAAACTTCTAATTGAAACTCCCTTTTAAAGAATTTTTGAGCGCATGTGTGCACGTTGCTTCAAAGAAGATTAAAAAATACATGAAAAAAAGACCCTTCCCACAAGGAACTTAGGAGGTAAAATGCAAATACGCAAGTAGGTATAATATATGTTAAGGCAGAAGCGTTGAAAGGCGAGAGAGAAATTACTGCCAGTTAAGAAATCAGGAAAGGCTTTTTAAACTAGGTGACCAGTTGAGATGAATCTTTAACCACCCTTGAAGAACACAAGGCTGAGATTTGGGGTTCTGCTGCGCCAGCCCAGTGATGAGCACACAGCCACACTAGGCCCCACGCGGTGTTTTCTCTTTCAGTCTCCTCATTGCCTCCTCTGCAAGTGATTTAAGAAACAGCTGCTGTTGTTGAATGGGGGCTGGGTTGGGACCGTCCCTGCCCAGGGCCTCAGCTCTGTCCACAGGCATAAGTCCTCTGCCGGCCTGGGAGTATGGTGAGAATGGAGATGCTCGTCCTAAGAGCAGACTCACTCGGAACACACAATCTGGGCTCTGCGTAAACACCACTGGTCAAGTGTCTCGCCAGCGGTGAGGATTCAGAGCGGTGTTTCTGGTCCTGTACCAGTGACGTGTTCTCATTCTAGCTTTGATGGTCCTCATTGGAGCTGAGACCATGCATGTCCTACAGAGAATGGTGAGGGCCTTCTTGTCTTGCTGCAGCTACTAGGCTGAATTTTATACAATATCCGGGTAGAAACTGATGTAAAATCCGGGTGGACCTAATTCTAAAAGTCGAAATCTGCCCCAGAGTAGAAAACTGGAATTATTTATAAATCAGGGGGAGGGGCTGTAAGAATTATTTATTAATTTAATGGGCAGTAATGGTGTCGATATGTTCATTTTTCCCACCTTTAGCCTTTGGAGACTCGTCTGATTTCAGAGACCACATCTGTTTGCAAACCAGAGCAAGTGGCCAAACAAATTGTTAAAGATGCCATAGTAAGTAAAATCTTTGTTTTCTTATTATCAATAGTTGCAGTACTGTATTTCTGAAAAGATATTTGTCCCAGGGCTTATTTCAAAATATAAATGATTGTATTTTTTGGTCAGTTAGATACATCATATCTAATATTGGACTCTGCTTTTCTTCCTTTAGACACTTTATCAATTCCATGTTAATTAGCAGGCTCCTGGAAACTAATTAGGTATCTTAACCTTAGGAATAGATTGATTAGTAAGGATGTCTGGTTCTTTAAAAGTAAGATTCGGTTCTTTAAAAGAAAATGAGACTTATCTATGATGTATAAACAGTATACACTGTATACACTGTATACTGTATATGGCGTGTTGCCTCTTCTTTCCCACAATATTTTCAGTTTTAGGTTATTTTCGGTACCTTATCGCCAGACTCATTGATTAAGGAATTTTTCTTTCACTTCGTGCTTCCCAGTATCATTTTCCCAAATGTTCACTAATAAGAAAGTGCAACCAGCCCACTGGGCCGTCATCCTGTCAACCCAGCCTCATGTGCTTCCCGGCTGCTGAATTTATTTGGAGTCAAAAATAGTATCTTTAGAAACCATGTGCTATTTTGTAGAATGACATATGTGCCACAAGCTTTTGATAACATTGTTATTAACCCACATGCAGAAAGATATACATTTATGAGGGATGTCTGAAAACCTTAGGCCCACATTGAATTTAGGAAATTTGGGGGACCACTGGGGTGAGAAGTGTCAGCACGCTGTGCACCAGCCTTGAAGGAACACACAGACTGTTGCGTGAGGCCGAACTGAGCAGACTACAAGAAATATCGAACTCCATTAAAATATGTACAGACACTGGAAGAACTTTGCCCTGATTGTATTCAAAGGCACAGAAAGATGCCACCAAGTGATTGGGCTGACTTGGTGTTTCCTGCTTATCTCAAGTCAAAGCAAACACACTCTGTGGTTTTTTGGGGGTTTTTTTTGGTGAGGAAGATTAGCCTTGAGCTAACAACTGTTGCCAATCCTCCTTTTTTTGCTGAGAAAGATTGGCCCTGGGATAGCATCAGTGCCCATCTTCCTCTACTTTATATGTGGGACGCCTGCCACAGCACGGCTTGATAAGCGGTGCATAGGTCCATGCCCAGGATCTGAACCTGCAAACCCTGGACTGCCGAAGCAGAGCGCGCAAAGTTAAACACTACGCCACCAGGCCGGCCCCACACTCTGTGTTTTTTAATGATCTGAAGTAGCTGTTCGTATTTTGGCGTGATTCATGTAGTCTGGTAGTTTTCAAACTTTTCCATCTCTTGACCACTTTATGCTCTAAATTATCGACAATCCCAGAGAACTTTTGTTTACGTGGGTTATATTTATTGATATTTTCCATATTAGAAATTGAAACTGTATAATTTAAAAATATTTATTTATTAATTTAAAATAACAGTAATAAATCCCTTACATTTTAATGTAATTTTTACAACAAAAATTGCTTTTCAAAACAAAACTTAGTGAGAAGAGTGGCGTTGTTTTACGTCTCACCAGTCTCTCTAATGTCTGTGTTGATAGAAAACAGCTGGATTCTCCTAGCTGCTCTGCATCCAGTCTGTTGTAATATGTTGTTTTGAATGAAGGATGTAAAGAGAATCTGGCCTTACACAGATATGTAGTTAGAAAAGGGAGGAGTATTTTATAGGCTTCTCAGAGAACTGTGGACATTCGTTTTTGATATTAAACCCAAAACCCATGAATAGTAGTTTCTTAAAGGTTAATTGCAATGTGGAATTGGAAATTATATCAATGTACTTTTTGTTCTCTGTTACATCAAAATCCATTGGCCTTGGCACTTTGAATGTTTTGTACCCATTCATGATTTTGTAACATGCATTAGTCATTTGGAAAATATGGGTTCACTGAGTTATCAAAAAAATTACGTTCATTATCTTGCTGCTGATCTTATCATAAGTCTTTACATTTTTGTTTTTGTTTTTGTTTATTTTTTGTGAGGAGGATCGGCCCTGAGCTAACATCTGCCAATCCTCCTCTTTTTGCTGAGGAAGACTGGCCCTAGGCTAACATCCGTGCCCATCTTCCTCCACTTTATATGGGGCGGCTGCCACATCATGGCCTGACAAGCAGTGCGTCAGTGCGCGCCTGGGATCCGAACTGGCGAACCCCAGGCCGCCGCAGCAGAGTGCGCGCACTTACCCACTTGCGCCACCGGGCGGGCCCCCAGTCTTTACATTTTGGAAAGCTGACAATCTCATGATGGCAGATGAAAGTTTTCACAAATCTTAACTTTTCCTTGAAAGCTCAGATTTTAACATTGACCACAAAGGTTGCCAGTTTTCCCGGAAGCGACAGGCTCATTTTATTCATTTTCCACAAAATGTCATCCAGATACCCAAGTCTGAATAACCATAGATTGTCTGTGGTTCTTTCACGTAAAAATGGTGTTCTGTGAAAAAAGCGGCAAGTGTCACACCTTAAACGGTGGCAGGAGGGCTTTCTTCGGGGCAGCCGTGCCCTTTCATCACCGTACACAGCAGAAAGAAGTGCTGGGTGCCTACTCCTCTTTGTGTCACACAGAATATTAAGAAGACATGCCCTTAAAGGTTGAGATTTAATAAAATGATTAATTTTACTGTTTTATCAAGGGCATTTTAAAGCAAAACTGATGTTTTAAAGTTTTTAAAAGATTTTCTAAAATATCTATTTTCTTTGTGTATTACTGCAGGTGTGTGTGGCAGTGGAGAGGCACCACTGTCTTGGTTCGTGCTGATGAGCCAGCAGTTTTGCCCATCAGTGCAAATGTCACTCGTCCAAAAAGGCAATTAATGTCTTAGTATTATTATGACAATCGTTTTGTCCTCATGGACCCCCCTGAAAGGGTCTCAGGACCCCCAGGGTCCATGGACCCACATTTTGACAACCGCCCATCTAGCCGTTCTAGCCCATCTGCCAAGGCCACGGTCATTTATGAGCTGTGGTATGTGCTTTGTTACCCTCTTACCCCCCCTAAAGCGAATGGGCACACTGCATTGTTTCTGATGTGTTGTTTATTCCTTTACATGTTACTCCTGTTGCCTCTTTCTTTTCTCTTCCTTCTGTTGTAGCAAGGGAATTTTAACAGTTCCATTGGCTCGGATGGATACATGCTCTCCTCCCTGACCTGTGGAATGGCTCCTGTAACTTCTATCACTGAAGGGCTCCAGCAGGTGAGCTGTGCCTAGGCCGTCAGACAGATGGACAGACAGACAATGCCTCTCATTAAACCTCAATGAGAAAAGGCTCAAAGAAGACTCAGTAACTTTATCTGAGGATGTGAAGAATTTTTATTGATGGTGTCAACTTTTTCTCTTCCTCGACCAGGGATAAGTCAATAGGAAATAGGTTAAAGGTATAACTTGAGGAGTTGAGGTGGGAAGAAGTCTTCTATGCTGGGCACTGTGGATACAGAGATCAAATGCTGTCTCTGCTGTTGGGGTGTTAATCTGGGTTCTCATCTGAGAATCCCTGATCTGAAGTGTTTGAAAAATGAAATTCTTCTCTGTCTAGAGTAGTTTAGGGGTGGCCTTGCCTAAAAGTACTGGGATATTCGACTGGAACACGTTTTCTAGGGGAGTCAGGCCACAGATAAATAAGCTGAGGAAGATACAAGTCAAGGATTCAACACAGTCCCTGCCCTTACAGAAATTGTAGTTCATCCATAACACGCAAAAGTTAACTGCTCGTTGGTGTGCTCGGTGCCGTGTTTGCTACTAGAGACTCAGAGGTCAGGTCACCTCTCTGACCTCAGGGTGCTTACAGTCTATGGGAGACACTGATACAAAAGGTGACACTAACACAAGGTAATGTAATGAGAGTTATAATCGAGGGGTTGCTCTGGAGAGACAAAGCCATGGATGATGGAGGGTAGAGGGTGGGAAGGCTGCCTACACTGATGGGTAGTTGATGACAAAGGACTAAATTCTGTGCAGTACACCATGCCCAGATTGAAAACCCAAATGACTTAGGTGTGGGTTTTCCTCCCTCTGGAATATACCCACGATTTTGTGCTTCTCTCTTAGAGGCAGACACTGTATCGTATGTAAGCTCTCTGAGGACAGGTCCACACTCTTGTGTTTACATTGTACCCCTCGCAGCCCAGCCTGACACATAGTACGAACTGAGAATGCCTGAGCAGAACCAACTCGTGAATTCCGCACCATCTCTGTGGGCGGTCTTGCCCGTTCTCCCACTTCTGTAGGAGTGATGCCAAATCTCAAACTTCAGCCCATACCTATTTCCTGAACTCCAGTTCTGTATAAGTTTCTTGAGACGTTTTCCCTGGGCTGTGACTCTGCATCTCCAATTCAGCATGTCCACAATAAAACTTGTATCTCCCCAGCATCCTGCCCTCACGTCCTGTCATCGATTCTGTATTCTGTCTCCGTGATGGGTGTTCATGTTCACTCAAGGGCCCAACCAGAAACCGGGATGTCCTCACTGACTCCCTTCCTTCTGCCCCTCACATCAGGGATCAGATCCGTCTCTCGTCCCTAGTCCTGGGTCCGATCGCTTTTGCCGGCCCTGCTGCTGCCCCCACAGTTCAGGCCTAGGACACCGCCGTTGGCTCCTTGCCCAAGTTTCATGCTCTGTGAGCCAGAGGTTGTCAACTGGAGGCCCGCAGGCCTGTAAAACCTTTTGTTTGGTTCATCTGGTGTGAGTGTGCTTGTTAAAATAAAATAGCTTTAAAATTAGATTTTCTATAAAAGGTCCAGATTTTGGACTTTTCTTGGAAAATCAGAAGGCCTAGGGCTCAGGGTCTGCATTCTCACCTGGCAGCAATCAGCTGCTCAGGGTGGCAGCTGTTCCCATTACACAGGACACAGTTTCCTAATTCCTGTGGTCTTACAGCACCTGCCCCCGGCCTCGGGTACATTCAAGTGTGCCATCACGTTTTCCATGCTGGTTTTCTAAGCTGCAAATCTATCTTGCGTAGCAACCTTCAGTGGCTCCCCAGTACCATCAGGATAAGGCTTCCATTCCATCGCATGGCACAGCCCTCTGACCTCTGACCCCACTTACCCTCCTAGCCACTCTACTTTCTTCCTTGCCGCTCCTCCTCTTTCTACAACTTGGTCTGTGTCCCTCCATCCCCAGCCTTCCCTTGTCCGACTAACTTCCAGTCTTCCTTCAGGTCTCATCTTAAACATTGCTATTTTCAGAAAACTCCAAGACTAGGTTAAATGCCTGAGACTTACCCCCATTTTAGCACTTTATTCTGCTGTATTATAATTGCTTTTTCTTGAGTTTTTTTTTTCCTTTTGTTTAGTTTTTTTAATAATAGGCATGTTTTTTAAAGCAGTTTTAGATTTATAGAAAATTTGTCTGGAAATTACAGAGTTCCCATATACCCTCCGCTCCCCCTCCCCGCCCCAGTTTCCCCTATTATTAATACCTGGCGTTAGTGTGGTCCATTGTTACAGTTGATGAGCCAGTATTGGTACGTTATTATTAACTGAAGTCCACAGTTTACATTAGAGTTGACTCTCGATGTTGTACATCCATCCTGTGGGTTTGGACCAGTCTATGACATGTACCCACCATGACAGTGTCATACAGAATATTCACTGCCCTAAAAGTCACCTGTGCTCCACCTCCTCATTCCTTCCTTCCTCCTTTTGAACCCCTGGAACCACTGATCTTTCTGTTGTCTCCATAGTTTTGCCTTTTTCCAGCTTCCCTTTGGTTTTTACATTTTTCAAAGTTATCCTTGCACACACTTCAGAGAATCAAATAGTTTTCAAGGCTTGTTCTGAAAACCAGCAGTCCCTCCCTCCATATCCTCCATTTCACCTTTCTCAGAAGCAGCTGCACTCATTTTAGCTGGGCCGCTGATATTTACCTCCGTATCTCTAGATTCTGTACCTCCATGGCCACTTGCGCTGTTTCCCAGTGTGGGATCAGGTATTGACTTCTGACATGAAGGGTGAAGCTTCAGCTCTCTTCCATCCCCTCCTCCTCCCGCTTAGACCCACCTCTCCTCCATCCTCAGCCTCCCTTTTTTTTTTTTCCCCCAAAGCCCCAGTGGATAGTTGTATGTCATAGCTGCACATCCTTCTAGTTGCTGTATGTGGGACGTGGCCTCAGCATGGCCGGAGAAGCTGTGCGTCGGTGCGCGCCCAGGATCCGAACCCAGGCCACCAGTAGCGGAGCGCGCACACCCAACCGCTAAGCCATGGGGCCGGCCCCTCCCTTTTGTGATATTGGGATTTTGGTTAGATCTGTATTTGAGATAATCATTATTACAGCTATTTAAATGCAATTCACAGCTGAGCTATGTGATATACCAAATTAATTTTTCTTTTTTGTACAACCTTTTGTTTTCCCTGAAACTATTATTGGCCTTTTTCTATGTATTATTAATAATGACTGTCTTCATCTCCTCTCAGAAATACCAGGTACTCTATCAGTTTCACCTTCTAGAAGGAATTGCTCCTGGAGCCTTCTGACCTGCCCGTCAGGACTGGCTGCCCCCATGTCTGGTGCATGGCTGACCGTGGGCCTCCCCATCGCGGTCATCCTGGGGAGCCTTCTGCCTCTCTTTTGTATCGAGCCCTCTGCTTCCCTGTATCACCTGACATTGCATTTCTTGGTTGACCCCTCGCTTGGGCTGTTTACCTCTTCTAGTGGCTTTCTGAAGAAAGGGTGCATGGGAGACAAATTTTTTGAAACTTTGCATATTTAAACATGTTTCTCTTTCTAGTTTTACGCCTTTCAAAAATTCCATTTAGAGGTGTTGTAGTGAGAGTCTTAGTGGAAAGAGTGAAAGTTAATGGATACGGTTAATTGCTGGTTTAACCCTGAAACAGTAATGACCTTTCTCCAGTTGATGGTCTTTCCAATTATGGGATAAGCCAGTGAAGGGCAGGACTGTGTCTGTCTCACCACAGAGTCTCGGCACCTAGCATAGCGTCTGACTTTCGTGCTCAGAACATAAACATTAAACCAAAAAGCCTTGAGATGCTGGAGTAGATCTTCCCTAGTTATTAGGACCCTGAGACTACTAAGAATACCTATTTTGTTCTTTGTATAATTTGAATTCATTAATTGGACAAATATTTTGTTTTTACAGATCTGGCAGGCACTGTGTAGACGGTGGTGCAGAGCAGATAGCTTCTGTTCTCACTGTTCTTCTGACAGTTACAGAGTTTTCATGATACTTATTTTTAGAGAAGATTAGAAGATTCATCTTAGAAACTGTTTATTAATAAAGACATATTCTAAAATCCCTTGAAATGAATGGTTCTATTATACCGTTGGATGAGCTCAAAGGTCTGTCTCTCTCTCACAGGTGGTCACCATGGGCCTTTTCCGCACTATCGCTTTGTTTTACCTTGGAAGTTTCGACAGCATAGTTCGTCGCTGTATGATGCAGAGAGCAAAATCTGAAATTGCAGACAAAACTGCCTAATTCTTACCCCTCGGAAAAAGACTGTTTCTAAATAATCTGAACAGCTTGCTGCTAAATGGACCCAGATTTTGGCCTCCAGACACTTATATATTGCTTTTGAATATGTGAGATTGGACCACTGCTCTTCAGAACCTGGCTGCAAGCAAGGGGATAGAAATTCAACTCCAGACAATATTATTAATACTATGCAAATGTGGAATAGGAGACCCATTTGATTCTCTGAGGTGGAGAGGTGATGACGGTATGGAGTGTGAGCAGGGTAAAGAACAGGATTTCGGAGTGATCATTGAAATTTTTCCTATTTATTCTCTTTTTCCCCATAGAGATCAAGTCCAGAAATATACTTTATGACACATAAGAAGTCTTAAGGACTTTTTAAACCTTCCATGAAAGGCAGTTTATCGGTTTCTAAGGCCTTTTTTTTTTCTTTTTAGCTTGGTGTATTTTATTCAAGATGAGTTTTACACATTGCCAGTGAGTCTGAATGCATAATAGTGTCCCTGACTCACTCTGCTGCTGGTGGACCCTTGTGGCTTCTCTCTCTCTTTGATCCCGTAAAACTACAGTGGGGATGGGAGAGGGCAGTGCAGTGGAAGAGGAGGAGATAAATATTTTCCAGTAGGAAGAATAAAGATTTCTTGCCTACTTTAGACTCGAATGCGTAGGGCACTTTTCGTTTTTCACTCACGGGGAAAGGCAGCCCCCTAAAATGTTTTCTGAAGAAAAATAAAATCCTAGAAGCTTAAAAGTTTACAATTTCTTCAATGGCCATGATGACCTGAAGTCCTATTCCATTATAGTGTCCTCTCATTCTTGCCATCTCTTCCTTTGCAATTTTGCTTATACTGCTATAATGTTTTTGTAAGAAAGAAGAGCAGTTAGAACTTTTTGACTTAACTTTTTAAATTAATTCATGAATTAATTAAAAAAAGGAAAAAAATTAAGAAGTGTGACATTCTTCCCCTTGTAGCATATATGTAGCTTTTAGGAAAGGCTGATGAGAGGATATTTAAATTTCACTCATTAAGGAAAAAAAGGATGACAAGGCTGATTTTGAAGATACTTGTTTTTGAAATAAAATGATCACCGCTTTCTTTCTATGACTCCTCCACTGACCCTGAGAACATTCTCTTTGAACCATGTGGTAAGGAAGCCCAGTCATCACTCTCACAGTATAGCCCTGGAAATCCTCTTGGTCCCGGGAATGTTGTTTCCAGATTACAGGCTCCGTTGTTCATTAGTGGATTTCCACAATAAGTGCCTATGATAAGTTTTAGCCAATGTTGCCACTTCATCCAGTCGTCGTATGTGCTCCTCTGACTTGAGGATGGTCACCTTCATTGTGATGCTGTATCCCTTCCTTCTTGCATACACAGTAGCACATTCCAGTTCACTTTGGTGAGAAAAGACTATTGCTTTTGTTTTTTTGTGTGTATGTGTGAGGAAGACCAGCCCTGAGCTAACATCTGCCAATCCTCCTCTTTTTTTGCTGAGGAAGACTGGCCCTGGGCTAACATCCATGCCCATCCTCCTCCACTTTATATGGGACACCGCCACAGCATGGCTTGACAAGTGGTGCGTCATTGTGTGCCCAGGATCCGAACCGGCGAACCCTGGGTGGCTGCAGCAGAGCACGCGCACTTAACTGCTTGCACCACTGGGCCGGCCCCATGAGACCACTGCTTTGGAAGAAGAAACTTTTTATTCTTAAAAAAAACACAGTTCTACAAAAGATTAAAGACCTAAAAATTATAGCAAACCTTTTTTGCTCTTGAGTTTTTCAAGCTTTGACTTTAAAATGACTTAATTTTTAAAAAGTAAGATGTTTAATGGCTTTAATCCATGGTGTTTTTTTAATGAAGATCTGAGATTGGCATATTTTAAACACTGATAAAGACAGAAGAAAGTATTATTTAATGTATAAGTTGCTTGAGATGACTTCATTGCAGTTAACGGGAGTGAGCTGATGCCATAATGGTTTCATGAATCTTTCAGTCTTAGGGAGCCATCGTCTGCAAACTCTTTTGAGTCATATTGTACAGCCTCTAAAATGGAGTATTGGCTGTATTTGCCTAATTGGCAGAAAACAATTACATTAATATCTGGATGTTTCTCAACTTTATTATTTTCTCATAAATGTTCCTTGAATGTTGGCACCTTCTCCTGCTGGTGTATATTAAAATCTAGTCCAAGATGGTGTCTCATTTAATAAAATTACCTATTTAATAATAGTTATTTCAATATACATTTCTTAAGGTATCCTAATAGACAGTACTGTCACCCTAGGTAATCTGCCTGAACAAATTTAAGAGCCCCTGTTCTATGGTGAGAGATATTATCTCCAACCCAACTGAAGCTCAGACGTGAGAGCAGATTTGTGGAGGTCATAATGTCAGAGAATGGGCTTCTTTGTCAGTGACGTCAAAGGTCCACAGTCCTATATCCAAAAGGCTTTGGAAAGGTGGTATTTTTTTTTTCTTTCTAAATTTGGTGCCGTAATTCATTTGATAGCAAAACCTGACATGAACTGACGTGAGATTATGATAGTTTTTATTTATGCCACTTTGTGGACTGTTCATTAATTTCACCTGAAGAAATACCAATGGGTTTGTTTATAGATACTGCCTCAGACTCTGTGGTGGTGTTTTGTAATATCCATTATATGCCTCATATTACCTTTTCAAAATCCAAAAAATGAATTCTGAAACACATCTGGGTTGAAGGGTTTTGGATAAGGGATTGTAGACATTTAAGCAGCATCACACAATGATCTGATTTCATCCAAAACATGAAAATATTACAAGACAAATTCTATTTTTTATTTTTTTTGGCTCAATTCTTGTACAACTTTTTTTACACTGACTTTTTTTTGCTCAAGGGAAGAAAAAAAGTCTTGAGTCAGATTGTTAGGGAAACTATTGGCTTTTTTTTTTTAAGGATTGCATTGATTCAACACTTTTATATTATACTCAGAAGCGGATGAGTCTTAACTGTGGCAGACGAAGTTTAATCAGAATTCTGTTGAACTGTTAGCTCTCTGTAAGTGACTAACAACAGCTTTTTATGCGAGTTTCAGTTCTGAAATGTCTGCCTCTGCTAGGTTTGGTTGTACTGTTTTATTATCGTGTGTTTGTGAGTATATTTATTTAAAAATGTTTAATGTCATTCAGCCATAGAAATTCCAGAATACGTTCAAGGACCCTTCATAATTGAAAATCAAGGTATAAAAAATAATCCTCATTTCTTTTTACAAAAACGAAGTCAAGGGAATTGGTCTTTTCTGTATTTTTAATATTTGATTTTCACAGCTGAAAAGAGAAGAAATTAAAAATGCTGTTCGTGATGGTCTCTTTACATTAATACTTGTATATGTTTAGTTATAAATCTTTATTTGGACCTGTTAGACCATATATTGGTGATTCTTGGAAGTGAAACGTTGAGAGACCGTTTTTAATATTTAGATGACAAAAGCGTTTTGGTAATAGTTGCTTCAATTCAAAGAATTGTATGCCTTTGTCTTTCTAGAAGAAGGCAATATATTAATTTTTTTTACTGAATTATATCATCAACTGATTTAATTTCATTACATCATTTCTAATTTAAACATGTCCTACTCACTTGAGGACACTTAAATATTCATATTTTTTGACGTAAGATGCTTTATATCTTTCTCATTTTCTTTAGTTCTTAGTAACTCAGCTCTACAAAGTACCTACTAACCATAACTTTCCATATTTTAGACTAAATGGTGTTTAGTTCAGGGCAGTGACGGCAGATCTGATATTTTGAAGAGATAATAGCTATTATATTTTACACTCGCTTGATGTGAAAACTCTAAAGACATTTTTAAACTGAGAAGAGTGCACATGGCTATTTTGATATATATTAGAACTTGTGTTTGCTACTTTAGAAGCTTTTGTGCCAGAATTGTAACCTAATTTTCATATCTTGTATTTCTGAATCACAAAAAAAAAATAAATGGGGAACAAGCTTTACGGATTTGAAAACTTATTTTTCCAGAAATTTGTGTTTTTTAGGAGACACTTGAAGCAAAACACAAACCTCTTCCATAACATTATTCTAACCTTGCATCTTAAACGCTTGCCAGGGCTTGATTTTTATCATTTTTCAGAAAGTAATATTTTCAGAGTAAGTGCTTGGTATTCTGAGCTCTTGTTTTAAATACGGTCTGTGTTTGTGTGACTCTGGTGTGGAATATATGAGTAAGAGAGAAAGAAATGTGGAATTCAGTAAAATTTCTTAAGTAATTATGTTTCATATACAAATAAATTATTTCCCATACTTTAAACCTTCATATTCTAACAAAGAAATATCTCCTAGACTCTGAAGGGCGTAGAAGACTGATATGTAAAAGAACACGCCTTAATATTTCTCAGTCCTTAAATAGAAAAATTTTGGTCACATTGAGAAGAGATTCCTTGGACATCTTGGTTTGCAAACTTAGCCTTTCTTTAAATTTGAGCAATTTATATACATAAATGGCATATGATACCACTTCTACAATTTTTATGCTTGGATGTTTAAAAAGAAAAATATTTCTTGACTTCTGTTCCACTCCTCATTTTATACCCTCCATTTCGCTCATTTAACATATATTATTGAGTGCTTATGATGACCTTGGTATCCAGGCACCCGGGACACAACTCTGCATAAACTATTTGTCCCTCCCTCGTGGCAATTACATTTCTTGTTTCTTTCCCTGCCCCCTCACTCACCCATCTGAAGGCTCTTACAAGTCTTCCTGGAGAAAGAGGAACCACTCCCCATTCCTTTCTTCAGCTTGGGCCTCTGAATTTTATGCCACAAATATTTGAATGCCAGGCACTATTCTAGGCTGGGAATGCACAAAGGAAAAATATGGTCCCTGCCCTCAAATAGTTTATAATCTAGTGAAAAACACATATGCTGGAAATTACACTGTGATCCAACAACAGCTGTGATTAAGATAGCACAACTGATGTTGGAAATGTCACCCCTTCCAGGCACTGTTGTGAGTGCTTTACATGTAACTCATTTAAATCATACACTAACCCTATGAGTAGTACTGTTTATATCCCTGGGTTACAAATGAGGGTACAGGCACAGAGAGGTTAAGTAGCTAGCACAAGGTCACAGCTGCTAAGAGATGGAGCCAGGATTCAAACCCGTTTTCTGACTTTTAAGCTCCAATTCTGTACTAAACCTTTTCCAGTGGCACAAGTGGAATCTTTGGACTGCCCAGGAAAGTCAAATATGGTCTCACAGAGGGAGAAGTTCTTGAGATGAAACTTGAGGAATGAGTATGAATTTGCCATGAGAAGGTTGGGTGCATTTCAGGGAGATGAGCAGATGTGCAAAGGCAAAGACATGAGAGGTCTTGGCATATTTCAGAAAGCACACTAAGTTAATATAGCTGCAAGAAGGGAATGTAGAGGAAAGAGGGGGGCACCCAGGTGGTAGGCTGGGGCCACATCATGCCATGCAGAGGAGTTGAGATTGTAGCCTCTGAAGAACTTGGAGCAGAAATATGAAATGGCCAGATTTTAGCTTTAGAAAAGATCATGGTTCCGCTTGAAATGTAAGGGGTACTGAGTCCTTGGGCCTTGGCATAAACAATCCCCATGAATTTGAAAGATACCATATTAGATACATATTGTTATGGGTAGAGCTGTATACCCACAAAAGATATTGCTGTCCTAACCCCCAGTACCTATGAATGTGACCTTATTTGGATATGGGGTCTTCATAGATATAATCAAGTTAAGATGAGGTTATTAGGGTCCTAATCCAATATGACTGGTGATCTTATAAGAATAGGAGAAAACACACACAAAGAGAATGCCATGTGACAACAGAGGCAGAGATTGGAATGAAGCAGTTGCAAGCCAAGGAACGCCAAGGATTGCCAGCCACCACCAGAAGCTAGGAAGAGGCAAGGAAGATTCTTCCCTAGAGCCCTCAGAGGGTGTGTGGCCCTGCTGCCATCTTGATTTTGGACTTCCGTTCTCCAGAACTGTGGGAGAATAAATTTCTGTTTTAAGCCACCTAGTCTGTGGTACTTTGTTATTGCAACCCTAGGAAACAAACATATTAACCTTGATTTTTCTAAATGTGTTCATCAGCAATTAATATCTGTGAGATACTGTGCTCTGTGCTAAAGAGCATAAGAGAATAAAAGTTAGTTATTGCACATAAGAATGTAAATTCTTTGCCTATTCCCCCTCAATACCATGACGTCTCACGTTATTTGGTTCTATTACTGTAGTTTCAATCCAACAAGAGCAATAGGCATTTGAAAAGTATAAGACAAGTTTCTACTCGTAGTTTATTTCACTTTAAATGCCAAGTCATTAATTTGAAAGGAAAAAATTGCCACAAGTGAATTTCCTGTGCTTTCCTTTGTAAACCAAGGTAAACATTATTTGCCCACTACTAAATTTGCAGAGCAGCATGATTTATCTGCAGTTCGTTGCCTAGTTTCAAAGGTCGTTGCTTAATTATTCTAAACATCTTTTGAGGTTTAGGACCCACCATAAATTAGTCAGGTGGGTTTCTCAGTTAAACCAAGGCTTGTTGGTTTAGATTTGGCAAAAGAGTTTCCCAATGATGACAAGGATGGTTTGAGAGCACACAGCAGACGACTTGGATATGATCACTCTTAAAGAAGAAAGGCTCAGAGCATAAATGAATGGGGAACGGTATTACTGTTAGTATTGTTAACTAATACAAATTGGGAGTTAGCATTATAATAATAACATTGTTATGTAATGTTTGCCAACAAAGTATGCAAACCATCTGAAAGAGCATGACACTATTTAGCATAAGAATTTATAATATATAAGATAGTTATATCTCTATAAAGCTTGAAACAATCATGTAGAAGACACTTGAAATTGGCAAGTGGTGTTTTGGATTGCTTATCTATGCCTGTGGGATGTTATTTTTTAAGCAGTTCATTTTTCTCTTATGCAGGCTACGTAGACTTCTTGTTTTTTCTTTCCCTCGTCAGTTCGTTTCGTTTGTGGATTTATTTCCACTTCAGTTTGCCTAAATGGTTTGGGGTCATGTTTTATAGTTTTAACTCTTTCATCTTACCTATTAGTCGTCAATTCCCTCTCAGTTAATGGTGTCTATCCTCATTTTAAATAAAAAGTCTAAAAGTTGGGAAGATTTAATACATACCTATATTAAACATTAGTATATCCAGATTAGAATAATGTCCTTTTCGAATTTCATAAACTTTGGGAACATTTATGTTGGTGATGGATGAAGAGAACTTTCTGCATGATGCTGTTAAACATCAACCAGTAGGTGGCGAAAACTGGCAATAAAAAGCTTTTTGTTTGGCAGATTGGAGAATAAAGAAGGAAAACACAGGCCTTTCAGACTCTGGATACAAGCTCCACTCCCTGAATCTTGTTCTTTTTCTTCCTGGTGCCACCCTCCTGCTAGAATCCAGCCAGACAACGCTGGCAAAAGGGTCGTCCATTAGCTCTTAAAAGTGGAATACATCTTGGGAAATGAAAAGCCCACAATGCACACATTTAGAAGATTGTTGGAAGGTCTTTAGGATTCAAACCCACGACTCCTGACTCAGGCCAGTGCCTCCTCCACTATCTCACGAATACCTGCAGACAAATAGTTAATTCACACACTTCTGAAGAATACTTACCCTCATGCTTTAAAGTGGAATCTAAGAAACATGGAATCTGAACAGAGGAATGGTTTCACTCTTTTGAGTGAAAGAGATCCAGAACATTCCCAGGGAATATATAACCTTAGTCAAGGACTGTAACACAGACCTGTCCTGAGAATGTGTGGTTATGGTCAAGATGCCACATAAGGAATCAGTCTCGGAAAATCTGTAAAGTGAGGCTCTGTGGAGCAAAGGAGGGGAAAGAAATAAGGAAGCTTTTCTTTCTCTGGGAATGGGGGTATCCATTTCCTTCTGGCTGCCCCCTTTGCAGAAGTACAATCTCTTTTCCAGCTCTGCCCTCTCATTTCCTCACTCACATGCTGGGTCTCAGAAGCACTAAGGCTTTCAATTCCTCTTAAGTAATTCCGGGAGTTTAAGACAAGGTTCTGAGAAGATCCTTAAACCATTGTGTTGTGGCATTAGTACGGTTTCTACTACTTCTGTGAGAACATATCCGGGGTCAGTGTCTATCTCCATGCCAGAACACCTCCCCGCCACTGCCGTGGATACAAGGGGACCCTGTCACAGCCATCAGAAGACAGAACCAAGCATTTTCCTTCATCCCCTCTTGCCTGGATAAGAAGTTTGTACCAGGCACCCATTCCTACATGCAAGAGGTTGGCACATTGGCTGATTGGGTAAGATAAATGAAGAAATGGAAATAATTTGCTGTGCTTATTTTGCTTAAGAATGGATGCTTGATTTTAGACTAGGAATGAGACAAAATAAAGAGCGTCAGAACATATCTGTACACATTGCTGTGCTCACTTGCCATGTTTCTATAACCACAATAATCCAGTGTCCCTGTATATTTGTACGTGAGCCCTATGAAGTAAGGGGCCCTGCTTTCAGTAAACATTTTTTCTGGGCGCTCTATTTGTCAAGACGCTTAGAGGGAAAAAATAGTTAAACACGTGCAACTTGACTGCCCTCTTGTGCTTTTCTCCTAGGGGCTATTCATGCTGATGAATTAAAAAATGTGTGTGCTTGTGTGTACATATATGTGTGTGTATGTACAGATAACTCGAGAAGGTGCGGCCATCTAGGATTGGCGGCTCGGTCACCGTGGAGGCCTTTGGAAACCCACTCACCCCAGTGTTAGCCCTGTGGGCCTGCAAGTTGCCATGTAGACCTCTGCGGCGTCCAGCCCCAACCCAGGGACGAAATTGTGAGTAGAGGAAAAACATTAACTTAACCATTCTAAAGCCCGTGATATCCCCCACTGCCCCTCCCCGGCCTGCTGAGGGCTGTGTCTGGCCTTGGTCACAGATGGTGTCTCCTGTGTATGTTCTGCGTGGACACCTAGGAAGCAACTTGCAAGTAAACACGACGCTGGGGGCTTCTCTTGCTAGTCAGCGTGCAAAGTCGCCTCTCTTCACGGGAGAGCATCGCTGAGGTCCCTCTGCTCGAGGTCAGCACTGGCCTGGGTCTTCTCCCCGGCGGCCGAGCGCTGGTAACACGATGTGTACACCCACCCACCACACACACACACACACACACACACACGGTTAGAAAGGGTGGAAGCGATTCCCTTTTCCAGCGCTTGTTTTCTCGGCGCACCCACCTCGCAGCCGCCGCCCCGGCCGCGTGCGGGTCCCCGGGTGCCCCGGCCCCGCTCCGGCCC